AAACAGTGAAACTATTTATCGGTAACCCAATAGTAATGCGTTGCATGCGAGTGAAGCTGTCCTCTTGTTGTAAAGAGCCTCACTGTTAGTTCAATTAGCTAAGTACAGCTTTCAGTGTTTTATTTGAAGTGCAACAATATGACAGGTATCATAGAAACAATGGTAATTATGTGGGTGGTCTCTAATATGCAAGCTGATATGATGAGGGTCTGGAAAACGAATGCACTCAGCTCGAGTGTTCATACAGCGCCTGTTGCTAGTGGCAACTGAAAAACAGAAATTCATTTCAAATCCGCCTTTTATTCCAGCCCGTTCCCCCCCGAGGCATGTTAATAACGCATATGAAAGAGATATTCTGAGGATATTATAGGAGCCCATCATGAAACACAGTTTGAGATGCAAAGAACGTCTGGAGAAACAGGATGAGATTCAATTAACCGCAATAAGCCAAATACACGATGAACGTTGAATAACGTACTTTACTGTATGAGAAAGAGCTCTGTAATATGTTTACCTGAAGCTGTACTTAGTTACATTTACTCAAGTATCATTTTTAAGCACTTTAGCTTTTATATTTCATGCATGCTAGTTTATTATTCTACTCTACAACAATATTGGGGAAATATTGCTCTTTTTACCCCACTATCTTTATCGGACCGCTACAGTTACCAATAAAGGTTTTTCATTCAAAACCAGTTATTGAAATATGATATTATGTTCCAATTGAAACCACCCAACACTATATTTGTTGAAATTAGATTTACTTGAGCAGCTACAACATTAAAACGCTGCATACATATCAATAAATGAGTACTTTTGATGTTAGTAAACTTTGCTGACAGGTAGGACACTTATAAAGATGTATTTTTACATTGTGGTAATCATTACTTTTATATAAGTAAATTATGCAAATACTTCTACCACCGCACCAAAAATATTTTTATCTAGAGATGTAAAAAGTAGAGAAAAAACAAATAAAATGTTAAAACGTTCCTTGTGTTTGAAGTACTAAGATTAAAACGTTACCTGACACCAACCTGTCTTACACCGGCAACAGTTTCGACGACATTTTTTAATTAAAATCAATCGTTAGAATTAAAAAAAAACGAGGTGATGTCCTCGGGGCTCACTAACGTTACGTGATTAAAACTTAATTTGAGCAAGCAGCCACCAATGGGAGCGAGGAGGTGGAGAAGTGGACAGGTGAGCTTAAGTTGACCTGCTTCTCTCGCATGCTAAGCTGACTGTGACACGTCATTTAAAGGACAAACTTGTCATTTAACGTTTGAATTAACTTACTTGTGACATCGGGTGTTCCAGCGAGTCCATGTGTTTGTCCAGAGGTGCTGCTGCTGCTCTTGTGTTGGGAGTATTATTGACGACCATTACACCATTTGATTAAACATTCAACAAAACCTCTCGGTGGGGACAGGTGCAGCAGCGGTGTCCAAAAATGAAAAGTCAACGGCATTTCTCTTTCTTTTTTTTTTAAAAATCAGTTTGAACGAGAAGACAACGAGGCGCCGCCAATCTTCCAAGTTTGGAGACAGGAGGGTTTAAAGGAGGGGCTTGTGCGGAAGAGGGTTTGAGAGAAGCTGGTTTTTCCTCTAGTTCAGATGCTGATGATTTGAATTGTCGGATATTATAGCCTTCAGCACCACAGAGCCTCCTTCATCAGCGCCCTCCTACTGTGCTGAACCCACACTGGCTGCTCCACGCGCCCTCATCCAACGCCAACACCTCTGCCTTCTCTCTGCACTGAAAGGATGAATAACAGCTTGCAAGCTGAGAATCAGAAACAAATAAATAAAGATGCACAGTTGTTGTTTTTTTACATTAGAGGAGTGGAGGATATTATTCCCTCTAACACATTTGTTAGAAATAACATATACATGGCAATAGCAATACAGCCAATAACAGAGAGTACATACAAGTAGGTGAGAAAACGATAAAAAGCATCAATAAACAGCAACATGCACGGTCTGTATACAAGTCAAATTATTTCTATAGATTGTAAACAGGAATGTAATTGTCTGCATATTGAATGATTCACAGTTAGGCTACATTATATCCCATATTATACATTAAGTAGGTACATATTCACAGTATATATACATGGCTATTTGCAGTATATACAAAAATAGATTCATATTTGACAATGATGATGGTTTGTTTATGTTAAAAAAAACTGTTAAAAATATATTATTTATAGCATTTTTTGCCACTTAAAGGAAGATTTTGAGGCTCAAAGCCAGGCTGTTGCCAAATTGTTATTATTAGCTGTGACTGATTGTAGGCTTTGAATTTAAATGACACTGGAGTCAAGGTAGTTTTAGTGAAAACAGTTCTGGGTGAAAAGGAAAGCTTAACGTTGACAACGAGAAGGCAGATCATTTGTGAGAGGAAGGCAGAAGAACATGAATGCTGGAACTTGCTAAGAGTTTTTCGCTATATGCAAACTGGGACACTTACATTATAAATAGATGAATTAAGGTAGTGAATTCAATTTTGAATTTATTATTTGGTCTATGAAATGTAAAAAAACAAAACATCACAATCCAAAGCCTTGTTTTATCGGACCAGTAGTCAAAAACCCAAATATATTCAATATGCAATTGATATAAAACAGACACAAGCAGCAGATCTTCACATTTGAACAGCTGCAACCAAAGAAATATTTCCCCTTTTTTGCTTGATCAAGCAAGTGTAACGATTAATAAATCACCATTAATCAGCTCATTGTTTCAGCTCTAGATTGAAGTGCTACATTTACAATAGATTTGTATATAAGAAGACATTTACTAAGACAGTACTATGTGTACCTGTTCAGGTGAGTTCCTCACAGAAGTGAACGTTTAATGTCATTCGGTTTAATGGAACAGATGTTGTGATGCACATCCCTGTATAAAGTGGCAAATCCACTGAAATGAGACTATTTACACTAAATACTACTGCACCCCTTCTTCAGACAACTTTCTACCACAGACGGCGCTAAAGTTTTGTTATTTATTATTGCCCTCTAGCGGTTTCATGTGCGTTTGCATTTTAAAGGGGCACTCCACTGATTTTACTCATCAAAGTCAGACTGCTGGTCATCGTTATTGTACTACTCAGCCTGTGGAAACAGGTGTATGATGTCTTCTGCGGCACCAGTCTGAAAAATAAACCCCGATGATGTCATACTGTAGTGATGTCATCAGGGTTATCTCGGTGTGGGATTGGAGGAAAAATCTTTAACAGAAAGCTGGCGTTACAAATTCCGTGGAGTTTGAAAGATGTGTGTGTTTACTCGGTGCAGAGGGTCAAATGAAATATACTATTGGGTTGCATTATGGGAAATGTAGGATCAAGTGTTTTGGGGACCCGGGATGTCTCAGTCTCTACAGCGGTGATTTTGATTATTTAAAAAAAAAACATACCTCTCTTTTGCAAGTTTCCCCACTTTATGAAAGCACCCTACTAAATTAATGTAGCACCTCTTTAAACAAGCAGTTTTCAGTCGAACTAATTAAGAAACTTTTTAGATTTAAAAAATACTCAAAATGCCACACTATAAGTTGATCCCAGCTGTTTTTGTGTGATAACAATAACAGGTGCAAAATATGATTTCAGCCAGATCCTTTCTAATCAAAGGGAAAACATTTTTATATTTCCTTTTTCTTGTTTTTTCTCTCTCTTGGCATTTCCCATCGTTTCTGTGTGTTCTGCTGCCCCGATGACCCCGGAGCTGAACTCCTCTTCTGACAGGTCTCTGATGAGCATGTGAGGATACTCAGCGCTCACACCAACACGGTCCAGATAAAGAGCCCTTCCTTCCTCCATCCCGGCAGCAGTTGCCTTGAAAAGACGCACACATGCCAAAAGAATGCCTCTTTGGTGCAAAGGAGCAGATTCACACACACACACACACACACACACATACCAGTAGGCCTGAAGCTTTCCAAAATAACAGCAAAATTGCTAGAATAAGAGAAAATGACTTCCTGCTATTGTTTGAACATTACTCGGGAAGTCACAATAAATGGTGTCAGCTTTTTTCCGATGCGATAGTCAAATAATCTCATGATACTGTCAACACAACTGACTTTGCACTTTGATAGTAAGCTTGGAATGGCACATTAACATAATCGCCATGCAAATTGTGAGATGAGACTAATCCCCAACACAAATAAGAAAATGGCTCGACAGCTGTTTGTTTAAATTTGTACAGAAATATGTTGACGCTGAGAGCACCAGAATTTAATCACAGCAAGCTGATTAAAAAACAGCAAAAATCTTCTCTTAAACCCACTCGTTCTTTCAATATCACAAATCCAATTTGATGTACAAATAAGTTGATTTGCTGCGTTTAATTTATCTCATTGTACTGATGCATCCGTCATGTTCTCTTTATCCTCCACCTCCTCCTGCAGGCCCACTCTGGCCGCTAAAGAGCGTGTGCGCTGTGTGGGCCGGATCGCTCCGGAGTTTTTTGTCTTGAACAGCGAGCATTAGTCATCCAGGTTGGTGGATGAAGAGAACAAGTAGCTCAGGTGGGTGGAAGTGCCCTCATATTTGATCACAGAGAGGCCTCACAAACAAAGAACAATGCCTCTGAGATGAGAAGGTCAAAGAGAGCAACGTTTCTCTGAACAGGAATTCAAAAATAAATGTATTTCAGGGCAGCTTATCCCTAACAAAGAGGGGTTAGTCGATTCTTTGCACATAATATGAGAGTTTCTCATCAAGCCAATCGGGTTTTGCATAAAAATAGTATTCGTGTAATTTTCTAATCATTTCTATAGTAATGTAGGAAGTTTCCAGGAAAGCACTATATAGTATATTGGTACATATATGAATGAAAATATGGATTTCCTCAGCATAAATGATTACTTTGCAAGATGTGAATTTATAGGCACAAAGGGTCCAATGAAAGACAAACCTAAACTCTGGATATCCTTTTAAGATGTGTCTTTTGTGAGTCTCTAGTCGGTGGAAGGCCAATACTAAATCACCACGTGTCGATTTAATCAGAATTTATTGATTAACACTTGTCTCCATTTTCCTTATTATTAGTCAAAGTTTCACAGTTCTTTCAAGAAACCTCTTGGCAAATATACTCGGAAATTATGCAGAAATGATGAGCCTGTAAAATAAAGCGTTCATTATATATCCTGAGACACTGCACAAAATCCTGGTCATGGACTCGATGTCTTTTTAACTAGACTTTTCCCAATTCGTATGAAGACACTGATGTCAAATACATGCAAACCAAAACAAATACATTTACAATACTTTATATTTTGCTTGTGAGGAATGACTTTGATTTGATTCTCTGAGGCAACGTACGTGTTTGACAGAACAACAGATGTGCACAATTGTACCTGAATCTGCCAAATATGGTCATTATTAGAGTTTAAACGATTTAGTGTCCAGATACCTAACATACAAAAATAAATCATCAAGTATAAAAAAAAGAGAGGATTCATACAGCTAACGTACATTTACCATCCAGTGCTGAGAATACAACATCATGAAATACTCACTCGTTGACCAATAATGACTTGTTATAACATCCCGGTTGCGCACACGAGTCAACATTTGTTTTGACTCAACCCTCTGCGAAGACATTTGCGTCACGACTCACGTAAAATGGCATTTAGAATTTGAGTTCATGTTCAAAGAGCGCGAGGAGCAGAAGACAGGCCCAACCCATCAACAGGCCGAGGTTCTGCAAGAGAAACATGAGGCACGGTCTGTCGGTCTTCACCCGACTCATCTCTGGAAGCTGAAAGAAAGACAGAAATGAAGAGTAAAACTGAAATAATAACAGTTTTGACAGATATATTGGATAGGAAGAGGATTATTTCTTTAAAGAAGAGGCTGGCATTGTTCTATACTTTTGTTATTGTCAAGAAATCCCATGCAAAGACCAAAACCATTGATACGGTAGTTTGTATTTTTACAATAAAGAATAGCAGTAAAATGTGTTTTTGTTGGTGACTGTTATCATCTGCACATTAGTACACATGCTCTAGTGCAGAGTAAGCATACTAGATATTGACATATTGAGAAGATCTCCCGCATTTTGATTGTCTCATTTATTAAAAGTCAAACCACTGCAGGACAGACACTTTTCTGAAATCTGGCTTTTATCCAATGGCTGTGAATGCAGGGAGGGCTGTCAATCAAACTGCGCACATGTGGGTCAAGCGCAAGTTAAACTGTGAGTGTCTTTGCAAATGCTACGGCCAACAGGGGAAATTGCGAGTCACCTCAAAGTCACAAGCTAAGCAGATTTAGGAGGAATATGATGGAAACTACAAAGAACAGGAAATGCAGATAAAACAAAGACTGAGGGAAAGTACTTTTAACTGGGTGAAGCCGCAAACATGAAGCGATACATGTGGGTCTAAACAAGAAGGCAAAGCACCGAGATAGTATAAGCTAAGTAACATCATAGACTATATTCAGCATTGGTGATACTCTTTGTCCCACATTTAGTTTGTTGGGATCAGAGGTATAAACTATATCAGATAATTAATTATTTCTTTTGGTCTTTTTTTAATGGGATTTGTTGACAATAACTGAAATTTGGAGTATCACCAGCCTTATCCTTTAATAAGGCTCCTTTACCATTTCGACCAGTGACAAATAGAGGAAAATCCCAGCAGTAACGGCGAAGATCCACCGCTGCACTTCCATGTCTGAGGAAACAAACAGTCCGATGTAGAGTCCCATGAAGGCCGTCAGAGCGCTGAGAAAGTTCATCAGCATAGCAGTCTTCACGGAGAGTCCAGAGCTCAACAACACTGCAAAGTCCCCTTTGAGACAGAAAGCAGACAAAGAAAAAGAGTCAAGCAAAGTGTTTCCTGGCCAAAATATAACAAAAGTGCTCCCAAAGTGAGGAACCGTGACCTCTCACCCATCTCGTGCGGGATCTCGTGGCACAGGATGGCCACGGTGGTCGCCATGCCGGTCTCGGCCGAGGAAGAGAAGGCCGCCCCGACTACCAGGCCGTCGGCAAAGTTATGAAGGCTGTCTCCCACGATTACCATCATGGCCAGCAGAGGAACGCCTTGTACTGGGAACACAAAAGGGAGTCTGTGATCGCTGAGGCTCATCCTCAGACCGTGACAAATGCTCTGTCATGCCAGGCGACTAATTACAAAGTGCATCACATTCATCTGTGTTGTGCAGCTCACGTTGAAGGACCTTACTCTGACGTGAAGGTCTCCTAGTGTCAACGTGTTCAGGAGACGCTTCTATACACTCCAAGTCATCCACTGGTCCCTGCAGGATACAGATAATTATTCACAGCAATACTCTCTTTTTTAAAATTTGATTCCAATTAGAGAAATCAAGACTGGTTCGCAAAGAGACAAATTCACCCATACAGGATACTTTTATGTAACAAAGATGGTTGGTGACCCATCTTTGTGTCGAGTTTCCAAGTGTGCATTCAACACGGTGCATGAAGAGCTTTCTGAATGATTCAATACTTCTCATTCTCCAACATCCTACATGCCCTGTTCCTTCACTCCCTCCCACACCACTCTTCGTTGCCTGTTATATAAAAGCAGTGCAGGAAAATTGATTCAAGTGAATTTCAGTCGGTGTTTTGAATTTCAGCATGGATCCAATGGATACATTTTATCCTACGTGTGTTTTACGACTGTTTTATGCTGTTCATGTGTGCAGACTAAACGTTGTGCTGTGACTGAAAGGTTGGTCTCCTATCGACAGTGTCCTCTAGCTAATCTCCACTGTTTATAACAAGTGCATTAGTGCTTCCTTGATGCTTAACTGGAGGAGTAGTGTGGGAGTAAAGAAAATATATTGACTTTAATAACTCCGCAGTGGCACAGCAGAGTAAACACAACATGTAACCATTGTATTTGGGTAGCTGCTGCTACAGCTGCTTCTTGTTTTTTTGGGAGTGAAGGATAGTTTTGTTGCACAAATTAGGAATTCAACCTTAAGTTTTTAATTGCAATGGATAACAGTTATGTTCCCTATGATTTTATTTAACAAAATGTTTTATTATATATACATATATACCAGATAGAGTACGCCAACTGCCAGTGACATGCTCCCCACCTGGGCTCAAAATGTTTGAAATTTCACGAAAACAAGTTAGAAAGCAGGCAGAGAATTTGGAAAAGACGGCTAATTGCAACAGATAAATGGTCGAAACATCCTGCTCCTGCCATTCACACAGACAGTAGTGTAGTGTGACAGCAAACTTGATCAAACCAAAGAACAGTGCTCTATCTAAACTTGTGACACAGCACTGGCTTATCATCTACAATTGCAAGATAACTGTAACAATATAACACCTTACATCTCAGTATTTTTGTTTTTCTCGGCACTTGGCATGAGGCACCCTTTTAATATCTTGCTGTTTAACTTCCAGTAACCTTGTCATGTTCCCTGCATCTCCTCTAACAAGCACATAACACGGATGATGACGGGAATCAGGTTTTCGTGCCAAGAACAATGTTTCTGGTGTGACTCACCAGCTGTATGGTGGAGATGGACTTGCCCCTCTGTGACTGGCCATTGCAGTTGAGCTCTAAGGGAAGGTCACCATGACTCTGCAGACAAAAGAAAGACCACGAGACCACTGTTGCTCAATCAATCAGCTCTGCACAAACTTGCTTGTTCATGGAAAACTAAAAGTTCTACCTCTGGCTAGATAAACAAAATCAGACCCTTCACCTTCATTAAATTGATAAGGGCTGCAAAAACAAAACGCTTACATGGCCATGAGAAGGAAGGAAGAAGGATAAGATTCTTTCAATGAGGAAAAAGCCGTAGATCCCTGCGATTATGCCCAGAATCCTCCACAGATACTCTTTATCGTCCGCAAAGTGTTCGTCATCGTGACTGTGAGTGTCATCGTGGAGGCCAAGGATCTCCAAAGGAGACAGGAAGGAAAACAATTGGACTTTTACTCCACAGTCAACAGAGAGTTTCTTTATGGCGCTTGACTCACAGTTACAGAGGGTGATGCAGTGGCTCTGTGTTCTATACCTGCGGTATGAGGTGCAGGAGTGCATCTCCTGAGAGGGTTCCCACTGCCAAGCCCACAAACAGCTGCAGGATGAGTGTGTAGGTTTCCTGGCAGGAGTTGAAGAAGATCAGGCAGATACCGAGCATGGAGCCCACCGTGATGAGCAGGACGGCCGCCGTGCTGTAGCCGTACTCTGCAGGGAGCAGAGACACAGTTTTTCCCTGTCCAGATATTAAGATTAAAAATGCTGGCTGATCATATCACAACATGAAATAAAGGAAAACACCACTCTGAAGATCTGTCTTACAAGGACAATATTTTCCATCTTTTCGTATAGCTGTTATTGAGGAGGACCCTTCGCTTATCCCATGTGTGCATCTGTGAGTGAGTGTGCACCTATGTGTCTGTCCATGGCTAATCTCCCATTCGACCTTTAGGGGCCCGTATAGGTGAAATGTCTTACTCTCAAGAGCAGTGGGCAGAGATCCTCTTCCTTTCTGCTCTGCAGACTCGCAGGCATTGCCTAGCAACTGCTGAATGATGGCAGGGCACATTTGTCTGAAGTGCTCCTTGGAAATTGGCAAATGAGGATTCAGAGCAAAAATATCCAACAGCTGATTGGCTGAATAACAGACCTGATTAGATTCAAAAGAAGAGACACATTTGTGGATGAGTAGGAGGCTCATTAAATCAAGCCTCACAGTAACTGCATGCAGGTTACAGCAATGCTATCATGCTTCTTGTGATTCTCTGTGCAGGAAATCAATCATTTGCCTCAGCCTCACCTGTGCCCAGTCCCTGCTTATTCCACCAGTTTCATTGTTGCAACCATCCGGCGGAGGCCCGGCCCCTTTCTGTGAACTCCGCCTCTTCCTGTTGTGAGAGTGTGACGCTGCTTCCCGTCCTACTCCCAGCTGATGAAGCAACTCCTCTAAATCTGAGCAGAGACATCACTGCATCATGATACTGTGCACCAGGCGAGATTCAGCAGAATTATTCAGTGTCTTTATGGGACAAAATGGCACTTTATGCAGATGAGATAGAATAATAGAGCTAAAGAAAACCAGTGACACAGATGACTGGTCATTAACCGTTGCATCCAGTATTAAATTTCATGAACCCACAGAGAATGATCACCTGACAGCTTCCTTTCGCTCATTTTGTGGTTTTTGCAGCAGGCAGCTATTTTTTGAGTGAAAAAGCTCTGATTAACCGACTTAATTGTCAGGTGGCCAGAATTTGACTTGACTCCAAATAAATGCCAATGTTGATCCGTACCTGTTGGATGTTCAATTGCTGGCTAAATGTTTGACAGTGTTGTGTTTATAGCTTGCTCCAGCTGCCCCAAGTGGCAGAAAATTCAGTTATTGTAAGTTTAAATAACACATAGAATGAGAATAAGATCAAATTGCAGCAGTTTTTATGTAGCTGCGATTAAGGAGGAATCTCCTCATACCAGCAGAGGACAACATGATCAATACCTTAGATTAAAAAAAAAAGCAAATGTCAGTTTGAATGTGCATAGCAAGCCAACTGTGCTCTTGAACTTGCCTATTGTCTGCAGGTCACTTGTGCAATTTAGGGATTGAAAGATGTAGTCGGTAAAGAAAGCCGGAGACGGGAGGTTCCTTCGTCTGAAACAGTGGCCCTGCAGGATATGGCTGATGATGGCAGCAGCCAGTTTGGGCACAGAGGAAACACCAGCACCTGGATTTTCTTGTACGTTAACCTCCTCAAGGAGGTGAGCGGCATCAATACACTGTGGAATCAAAGGTTACATCATCATATCCGAAGGTGCACCTGTCGACACGGGATAGATTTGTCAGATAAAAATTCCTTACTTGCAAATCAGATAAGGCGTCTTGATTGGAGGAGTCGTAGTGCTGGTTGATGAGCTGCAGAATACTTTCTGTTTCTCTGGATGACAGGAACAGCTTGTCCTCAGCCGGGTGCAGATTGGTCAGGGCCAAAAGGTAGAACTGATAGTTCCCAAATGAGGAGGAGGCCAAGGACGAGGAAAGGGAGGCGGCATTTGACACACACAGGTCTTGCAAGTTAATTATGTAGTACAGCAGAACAGTGGAGATCCGGTGGTAGTCCCCCTCAGTGAGGTATGCCTTCCCATCATCCTCTAGCACAGAGAGAGCTACGTCTGGTGTCAGGCACTGTAACAAGAACAGAAGGAAAGAAGAAACAATACAGGTTTTAAGGATGGAAAGTCGCAGAAAGGTCATGTGAGTGTTGATTGAGATGCGAGTGAGCTTAGAAGACTTGATAAACTGCCTATTTTCTTCTGCATACACTGCACTCTGCTTCCCAGATAAATGCTAGCTTTGTGCTACTGTTTGTGCCCAATTAGACCCACACACAAAAATACAGAAGGCTATAAGAGCAAAGCACTATTATTTGTCTGAGGAAGCAGACTGTTCAGCAAGAAATTACAAAAAGTAGAACATTTCTCTCAAAACCTCACTTTCAAGGCTCGACACGCACATAATCCTATTGTCAGCCCGCCTGCACAAACATGTGAAGTGCCTCTAAATCCAGTTTATTATGTCAAACTGAGGGACGTCTAAAGCCACTCAGCATGAATGCCCCATAGAGTTCAAGGACTTAAGCCTCCACATTCACTCACATTCCAGCCATAACAACCGTGTTTCTTGGAACCGGCAGGCAGGAGTGGGATGAACACATAATAAGCACTCAGCATGTGGATGTAAAAGTTGTTGTACGGTAACAAGAAGACAGACTTACCTTGCCACAGACATCCTGAGAGGTGCCAGTCCGCTCTGCACAGTGCACATCCTGGAGGAGCTTGGTGATCAGGATACCCGTGTGGTTCTTTTGGAGCTGTGGCTTCTCGTCGGTACCCGGGGGCAGATCCAAGGCCCTGAGAGCCTCCTGCAGGTACCCCAGCTCCTGACCTCTTACCTCCAGCTGACAAAGAAGCAGCAGCAGCAAAGTGGGAGCACTGCCCCTGAAGTGCATGTTCCTACCGGGGCTGTCCGACTCCCTTAAGCTCCCAAGACTGGCTCAGGACTTGAGATGATGAACACAAACAAGTGACTTGAGAGAGAAATTTGAATCAAGGTGAACGAGAGGAGGGATCTGAAAGCTTCCAGAGAAGAAGAGCTGTGAGAGGCGTTAATAATAGGCCCGCCTGATTTGGTGGAGGACAGGAGGGCTCGATGGGCTCCTTTCAGCTGAACCAGCCCCTTACAGTGCCGATCGGTCAGCCAAAGCCTGGGCCCCTCAGTCCACAACAAAGGGATTAGTGCAGGCAAGTGAGAGAGCTCAGGGGCATGGAGGGGGAGACTGTGGAGAAAAGTGTATCGAGGAAAACATTGAGCAAAGGAAAAGCTATTATTAACACAAAGTAACGACGTAAAGATCCACATCTGAAAACAACGTTCCCCACTGAAGGTCACTGGAAATGCTGCACCCATGAAAGTCTGAATGTTTTTTAAAATACTGAACCAGTTTTCATATTCAGCAGCGTCAATAGTTAAGGACGATAACTAACACACAGGTGACGTTCAAATCAAATGGTTTTTTTTATATTCAAATACTAAATGGGGTTTTATTGGCATGAAAGTTTCAAGAACAATGTTGCCAAAGCACCAAAATACAATTTGTACAAATATTTAGACAGTATACCAGTAATATGAACATTAACACAACATTTTGTTTTCATTCTCTATGATCTCTGAGTCATCTAAGATCAAACATGCAGAGCTTTCTCGCAAAGCACCTTCCAACATCCTCCCACGCTGTGCACCCTGCAGGTCACACCGACCGAGCAATAAGAGGACTAAAGCTACAGTTACACCTGAGGTAGAATAGATGAAAACGCTTACCAGATGAACCGTTCTCCCCTCTGCTCCTCTCTGCTGCTGTAACTAGGTTTGCCTTCCTCCGCCGACGGGATAAACCGAAGACCCAGAGCTCGTTTGGGGAGAATTCTTGGGCATTGGTGCTGCAAATAAAACCCTCTTATGAGAAGTGAGAGTTGAGTAAATCTCCCGAGGATTAGCTGCGACTGCCTCGGAGGGCTGCAGTTTCCATGGAGAACGCTGCCTCATGTTCAACATTAGGTGATGGGGGGGGGGGGGGGCGGGGCTGGGAGGGGGGGACTGAATGAAGTTACGCCTGACAGAGTAAAACTTAGAGCATTTTAAAGTGAGCATGAATCATTTATAATTTCAAACAAAAATCACTTAAAAAGAAAAGAGATTTACAGCTGGAACACTTGATAGTTTACTCTAAACTGGGTTAATTATCTTGTACAAAATAACCTCTACACATTTATATTTTCAAAATCATGCATTTTTGGCCATTTTAAATGAGCTTTTACATTTGGCTGACATTTAATAATCTGATCAAACGCCTCACTTTTACCAACAGGAGTTATCTAAATAACCTACAATCATCTGGTATGTATATCAGCAGTAAGGAGACACAAAACCACAGCAAAATACAAACAAGGAAACGTCATTCTTGTGCAGTTTGCAATCAAAAGTGTATGTTGCTGTACTGTCTTATTGTATTGCCATAAAATAAAGTTGTACAGAGATTCGTGTTCCTCAGAGGATGAAGCCCACTGACTTTGGCGATCCCCTGACTTTCCATCCAGCACTGCAAAAAGGTTGACTTTTTGGACTTTAAGCAAAAACTCTCAACAACTATTGGACGCATTGCCATGAAATTTGGTTTACAATATTCATCAAAACATCTTTTTTAAATAAACACTCAGTATTAGTCACTTTTTAAAGTTTCGATGCATTTTATCACAGCTCTGCAAATCGTGGTTGAAATTTGTTGGCCTGATTTTCAGAAGAAAAAAGTGCGAAAAAAGACAAAAATTAAATTTTGTTTTTTTATTTGTTTTATTGAGCATCTATTTACAAGTTGTCAGGCATAAATAGACTGATGAGCAGCCCACAGAGAATAATAACAAGCATCCCAGTTGAGAAAAATCTGATAATTGTACTAATAAAACATCTTCACCTGTCATGATTCCTAACTGGTGTTTGGTCTTCAAATGCTCTTGATTATCTTGATTGGTAAAAATAAAAAATAAACTGTACACATTTAACAAATCACATAATCATGTAATATTTGTTATGGATCATTCACATATTATCTTGTTCCTAGTTCACTAAGTGCAATGCCAGTGCTTGTATGAATTATTATAAAATAATTATGAATCATTATCCTTGATCCAGAACTCTTTAAATGGAAAAAATATTACAGGGTTTGGTTGAGATCCAGTTACCAGTAAAGTGAACCAAAATTAAGAATGAAACCATAATCATTCATCCTCATAGTGCTGATTACCACTGAGCTCATGTCTTCCTATGCTTGTTCATTCTGCTCTATGTTGGCCACCAGACCCTTGGTGTCTACAAGGGCTCGGATGGGATTGTTGAAGTATAACTTGTTGTCAAAGGTGCTTTCTCCCAGGACGGGGATGGGTATCCGTTTACGGAAGAGGAGGAAGGCACCGAGTCCAACTACGGCGATTACAACGAGCACTACAGCGACAGTGATGCCAGCAGACCCGTGAGAAGCTTCTTTAACGACTTGGGCTGGGGAGGGAAAACATACAGAAGTATTAACAGTGACACAACTGCAGTTTGAAAGATTATATTTGAAATATGATGGTCAAATAACTTACCAACAGATGGTGGCTTTTCTGTAGGTGTAATAACTGAAAAAAAGAGGATAAATGCTCAATGTAAATGACTGATGGGTCAAATTAAAACTATTGTACAACAGTTGATTAAATTTACCTTTGGCTGTTTTGCAGATGTAAGACTTGTATCTGCCGCAGCTGTTTGTGCTCCACTGTCCACTTTCAGAGTTGATGCCCACACAGAAATCTGACTTTGGCATCCTTGTTTTCCAGTTGACGTAGTCCACAACATTGTTATCGATCCACATCCACTCACCTGAAACAGGGAAGCTCGTTTACAGTAAACTTCAGCTCATGTGCCTCTTGTCACTTAGTCACAGAGCTAAGCACCCAATTTTCCAACAATATTCATTCCGCTGTACAATAGAAAAGATTTTCAACCCATTTGTTTGATTGCCACTCTACAGTATTTCCTAACCCAAAGGAAACATGCTTGAAAAAAAATGACAGTCATATTTTTTGTCCATATATGTTACATTTTATCTGCTTATTTACTTTATCAAAAAGAAGTGTGATTGTATAGAAGTCTATGAGAAAATGACCCTACTTCTCAGTTGATTTGTTACCTCAGTAAACATTATAAACACGAGTTTATGATCTCAATCTCTAGTTTCAGGTCTTCCTCAATACAGCATGATGTTCGTTTGGTAGATCATGATCGCATTTGGAGTAAACTAGACGATAAAGCAGGGTATGCTTTTGGGCGGGGCTACCTTGAAAAAAGGAATTGCAAGACAAGCTCACCTTCATGAGTCTTGTAGAGGCCGATCCAGAAGGACTTGGCACCGTCCTGCAAAAGCTCCAGGTTCTGTTGTATGAACAGACTCTCCTGAGGGTCCTCAATACTCACCAGAGAGGCACCTGATGAACAATAGCACACTGTCAAAATTGCATACACATACAACTTGTAATTTATTAGTAAAAAATTCTTCATAACGTACGCATTTTCAGACATTCAACTGAGGCATGGGCCCAGTTGTTCACCACTGAGCTCATGAAGGAATAACAATGGCCTCTGAAAGGTATCCAGGTTTTCTGTTTCTTTGGTTCTGGACAGTTGCCGGGGAGTTGTGGGGGCTCAGTGGGTGCTATGACTGAAAAAGAGACGGGACAATGCATTGCTAGGCATGCCTAGTGTTTGGTAATGTACAGTATATAGTGCAGGAGAACCAACAGAGGGATTGTCTGACCTGGTGACCTCTTGCAAAGGGAATAGTAGGTGTTGCTACATGGTGCAGTCTTCCATGTTTTGTCCACATCCATATACACACAAGCATAGTTGTTTTTAGGCTCATTTGTGCCCCATTTGGTATAAAACAGCAGCCAGTTATCGACCCACTTGAACCGCCCACCAGTCTGTGAAAAAAACAAAAAACAACTTGCATTTAAGTTGAAACAGAGCCAAGAGGTGTCAGTTTGAAATCCTGTTTGAACTAGTGGTAAACAGCAAGAGGTAGAGCCTTTTACCTCATTGCTGTTGAGGCCGATCCACACAGGCTCATTGTACTTGGAAATCTGCAAGTTGACGTATGCCTGGGTGACGGGGTTCAGGATACTGGTCAGATCTGCATCGTCTGCTTGGCACTGCCTCCTCGCCTCGTCCCATTTCATCTTCTGGGCCACCAGTTTGTAGGAGTCATTGCCAAGCTTATAGAAAGCCTTTGGTAACACAGTTGTGGCTGGGACTGCAATCTGAGAATCTTTGTAAACAGGAAACATCATGAAAAGAAAAAACATCAAGCTGAAACCCAAAACTCTAAATTGATGTTGTGCCCAGTTCGCATTTACAGAATTACGTTTGATAATGAACTATATCACTGTAACTCATGTTGGTGTGGCTTTGCTCACATTTTACTCACCAGTGTTTCTTTTGCAGATGAAGCCATGTTTTGAGTGACAGTCTTCCACCTTCCATAATCCTGTCATTTTGGAGTTGCTTCCTACCATGATCACACAGTCAAATGTCTGTCAGGCAGAAAAAAAACGTACATCAATTAGACATTTTAAATGTCTGAAGTCAGGATATACAAGGTTCTTTTGTGACGGTGACAGGCTGTCTATTGATAGAAGTACATTTTCACATGTCTTTCATGCTTTTTTCACACTTCTTTGCAACTAATCTACAAGAATATGACCATCACATTGTTGAGATGGACAGTTGGGCAGATAAAGTTTTGAATACAGGAGCTGAAGTTGAAATAACCTCATCATCAAATGAATAACGTCCATCAGGCATGGATACTGGATGCCCTTTTGCCCAGTTGGTGTATGAAATGGCTTTGCCATCCGTCCACACAAAGCGCATCTCCCAGTTGACGTCGTTCATGCCGATCCAGAAGTTGTCATTGTATCTCAGCATCTGCATCGTCAGGAATGCTATAAAGGAAGACACAATTCATCTTTAACTCCCTTAAAATTGTGGGTTGATTACGTCCCTGCACAATGAAATGTAACCTTAACAGACAAACACAAAGAAAACGCTCACCTTGCTCTCTCTCCTTCATGATAGAAACCAGATTTCCTCCATGGTTTATGCAGTGCTTCCTGGCATCCTGCCAGTTCTTATTGTCAACCCCCACAACTATTTTGTAGCACTGTGTAAACAAGATTTGCACTGTGTTAGAATAACACGGAAAGGGACAGTAGGCAACCAGTGTGAAACACATTTTACCAGAACAGATTTAAGCACATCTGAGAGTTTAAATCGAATCCTAAAAGTAGGAGTAGGAGTTTCAGCATTGTATTGGAGTAATCCGTGTCGTATGCAGTTATATATCATTACCTTTCCTTGGAAAGCGAGCCACTCTGGTGCACATCCTCCCTTAGGAATAGTGGTTGGGGCCATTGTTGCATTGATAAAATTATTGCTTCTTTTGCAAATGGAAGGTAGCTCCATACCACAGTTAATGTCATTCCAGTGCCCTATATGTGCAGAGTTTATAGAGAACAATGTATAAATAATTAAAAGAAATTCATTATTAAGTCGGACTAGCTTTTATTTCTGAAACCACCACAGTATGGAGTGTTAGACTCACCCATGGCCCTGTATAAAGACACACAGTTTTCATCATTATTAGCAAAGTTGGGCTCATTATGTTCCCATGAAGTGTATGTTACAGGTGTCCCATCCACCCAGCTGAAAATGGAGAGGAGACAACGAACAAGACGTCACTAATAAGAAAAAACTCAACATCTTTGCTTATGTTTTGTATCAAATTTCAGACGAGACTTCGACGAATGGTTAACGGGAAGTACCCAGCACACCGACAGTGGTAGTGTGCCTAAACAATGTGGTGTGATTTACCTGAATGATTTATCCAAATTCACGGTCATGCCGATGAAGTATTGTGCTTCATTGCCCTTTACTATCTGTTGGAACATCACAGTGAGAGAAACATTACATTGACGTTACATCAAAAACAATTGTTACATTGGGGGGGGGGGGAGTATTAAGAATTTCTTGCCAGTTTCCAGAGGAACTTCCTCTCACTCTCTCCCGTGATGACCGCAAGATCACCAAAGCTCTTTTTGCAGACAGCTCTAGCAGATTCCATGTCTAGATTGTCCTTGTTGATGAAATAATGTGTGTCATTGTATAGAAGCCAGCCATCTTCGGTGGTGTTGTACACTGTAAAGAGAACAAAACTGTTGTCAGATGTCTTTCAGATACAGTATCAGGGATCGATGGAAAACAAGAGTCTACAGCCATGCTGGCAGTTCTGTGAGACACGGCGGTGCTTTGAGCTAAATGCTAATACAAAGTTGAATGTTTATTATGTTCACCAACATGTTTTAATTAGCACTAAACACAAAGTACAGCTGAGGCTGATAAGACTATCATAAGTTTACAAGTATTTAGTCATAAAGTAATTTATGAGACGCATTTTTAGATATTCCACTAAATGCCAAAAATGTCAGGAGATCACCGTCGTCGCAAGGCTTTATACTTATGAAAAGATTAATGTTTGAACAAAATTTCATAGCAATTTGCTTCGTAGTTGAAATATTTTACTCTGGACCAAAGTGGTGGTCCAGAGTAGGTTAAGCACCTAGCATGACTAAAAAGAGAATTGGTGAAACAGAAAGAAATGAAGCCACTGCTGAAATGTACCTGTTTCAACCATGACAGGCTCAGGTTTGGGAGTCACACCTGAAAGTACAAGAAACATGAGGTCTTAACGATGAGCAAAGCACTACTCAAACACCACATATCTTACTTAAAAACAAATGTCTCTGTGTGAACTGCAGCTCCATGATGAGACCGGTCGGTGTTACCTTTGCCCATCTGGCATATCCAGTCCTTGTAGTCCTCACAGTGCACATCATTCCAGTGCCGTCCGTAGTAAAAGTGGACTTCTGCACAGTGTTCGTTGTCATTGTGGTTGTTTGGTTCCCCATAGCCCCAGTTCTCAAAGCCGAACTAGGTCACAGTTTTGGGGAAATACACATAATTAGGGCCAGTGTTGCGAATAACAGTGAGCAAAGCCTTTTGTGACAACAATGAGGTGCTACATACAGGTGACCCATCGGACCATCCGAAACCTGCATTGGTACCAAGGCTGAGGCCAATCCAGGCTGGATCAGTGGAATGAAACCTTTATGACAGCAGAGAAAAACAGTACTGATCACTTGAATGGTTGAGTAGCATAATACTAATGCGGACTTACTATGCAATATATATATATTTATATACACAAAGGTAACGTACGGAGCGTTGTTCAGGTCCTGCGTATTGTGTATGCTCATCAGGTCCCCTCCAATGGCCCTGCAGAAATCCCGCGCTTCAGGCCAGTTCTTCTTCTTGGGCTTAGATTTCTTGTAAAGCTTTTTAATGAGTGAAAAAGACAGGTTGAGTTTTGTGTTCTTAAAATTGCACCATGTTCCCAGATTAGTTGAGTTAGTCCTCCTACTTTGTAGCAGACACTCCTCTTGGCGGCGGGGGTCCACCCGGACTCGCAGCTCAAGGCCGGGGTGGTGGGCGGGACTGTTGTCACATGTACACCCTCTGCTGGTTTCTTACAGATGTACTTCTCCTTGTCGCTGCAGCTGACAACATCCCACAATCCAGCGACAACCCCAGTTGTCATGGCAACGCATCCCTGTTTTCTGTCTTTTATTAAACACGGCAAAAGAAATGGGGGAAAAATATCGATAAACTGAGCTCAAAGGTGTGACGATTACGATCAATTATTACGATCAAGGAAGGTGTTATGGAGTAAATAAGGAGATCCAGAGCCAGTATTCTGTGAGGCTGTATGTAGGCACAGAGGTGCTTTGAGTTTAGCATGCTAACATTTGCTAATTATCTTTAAACTAAAACTGCGGTGGTAAAGGACATCAGTTTTGCTGGTGTTTAGTCATAAACCAAAGTATTTGATGAATTCATCACCTCATGATGACGCTGGATAAAAGATTGAGGAACCATCGAAGTTATGACAAGTCTTCCTGAGGGGAACATAAATGTCTGTACAAAATAGTTGATTCAGTCTGAACCAAAATTGATCTTCATAGTCATGCCTTTAGCATAGTTAAAACTAAAACCTGTAAAAGATTACATTAACCTTCCCGTCCAGTCAAAATGTAAGCACATACAACCTGTTGCATCAGACAGAATTCCGATGGTGAGGAAGCACAGATACACAGCTGAAGAGAGGTGTGCTGTACCTGGCATGCCCACATTGAAATGAGTGAACGTGACTTTTCTTCTGGTGGTCCACTTGAAAGTGTTAATGTCGACTGTGTTGGATAAACCGGTCCAGAAATACTTCTCTGGTCTCAAACCCACCAAACTGACCAAGAACGCATTCTCATATCTGCATGAAAACAATATGAAAGCAGAAAGGTGAGCAATGAAATCTTTTCAAAATAAAGCCTGAGATTTTTTAGGATTAAGTGGAAACTAATCTTCACTTTTAGCAAAGTTTAAAACACAGACAAACTATTCCTAGCTTTGACATATGTTCAAAAATTGGACTTATTACAGCATTCAACTCTTGTGATAAGACTTAAGCTAATCAAACTCAATGAAATACTTTAAAAACAGGTGTGTCAGATCATTTTGATCACTACAATATGGGGCAAAAGTTTACATGAACGCGACATAAATAAGAAAATATACCTATCAGCCACATCCACCACGTAAGCACCAGCCTCTGAGCATGTCCGCTTTGCCTCATCAAAGGTTTTTGTCTCAGATCCAATGTTGTAACAATAAGAACCAAATCTGATTGAGCCCTTGAGATGATAAAAAAACAACACAGTGAGACTAAATCTGATAAAAGCTTTGTTGTACGATCATTATATTGAATGAAATGACATCACTCACAAGCTTGCAGCCCGGGTTGGCTTCCTCTTGGGCGCCTTCAGCTGGTCTAGTGGAGGCCTTCTTCTTACAGATGTATCCGTACGTCTTCTCACACATGTGGTCAGCCCACCTCGCGTCCTGTATGGGCCACAATCAGCAGATGAGAACAGCACCGCTCACGTCGATCACTCCATTCATCACCTTTTGCATTTGTTACCTTTCCTCTGATGACAACGCAGTCTTCCTGCAAGTTGGTGGCATGAGATGGCTCATTGGTCTGCCACTGGGTGAAGGTAACGTGGGAGTGGTCGGACCATTCAAACAGCATCTGGTTCTTCAGATCATTCAAGCCAATCCAGAGCACATCTGTCGGCACTGACGGGTTTAAATGCACGTGTAGATGTTAATGTGGTACCATTTTTCACATTTGATTTATTCTGTATTTAGTGTTTTTGTTCTTTAGATTAATAGCTTCATATTTTGGGGAATGCAATTATTTATTTTCTTACAGAGAGTTAGATCGAGATTGAAGAGGATCAATAGCACTAACATTTCTGTACGCTAAATATGAAGCTGCGGACAATTAGCTTAGCTTAGCTTAGCTTAGCACAAAGACTGAAAAACAGAGGGAAACAGCTAGCTTGGCTAACCAAATCCACCTATCAGCACCCCTAAAGCTCACAAACAAACAAAGTAAATTTTATTAGTTTAATCGCTAACCAAAATAAAGTGTGAAAGCGTCACGCTGGGATTTCACGGCTGGTGTTGTGCCGCACTATTTCCTGTCCCGGAGCAGTGACTTCTTGGAGTCTTAGTTGAACAAAAAAGGATATAACGTGTTACTTAATGAGCTTTAGAGGTGCTTGTAGCTGGATTTTGCTATCTTTGAACCGAGTCAGACGAGCTGCTTCCAGTCTTTATGCTACGTTAAGCTAATTAGCTGCTGGCTGTTTACCCTCACATGTACTAAGCAGATATGACACTAGTATCAATCGTCTCTTGGTGAGACAGCAAATTACTGTATTCCCCAAAATGTTGAACTAATCCTTTAAAATGAAAAGGTTGTCTATTATCAAAGCTTTCCAAAAGCATTACTTTTAGCATACTGCAAGTGATTGTTGTAAAAACCCAACAAATCACTGGAGGAAAAAAACAGAGTTATTGCACACTTACAGTATCCAGACTGAGATAGGACGAAGCTCTGCTCTTCTATATTGTGTATGCTGGCCAAATCTCCTCCCTCTTTGTGGCACCCAGCCAAAGCATCCTTCCACATCTTTTTGTTCCTCTGCAGGTAGTAACAGTTACCTGCATACGGAATCCAGTGACTGGGGCAGAAGCTGGGCTGGTCTTTGTCTGTGGAGAGAGACCAAAAGAGGTGAGAACACATTCGGACTCACTCTAATAACAAGCCAGATCATTTGTGAATGATATTATTTTACTTGGTGGTGGCGGCAGACTGGTGGAGTTTCCTTTGCGACAAATGTAACCAAGTTTCTTGGTGCAGACGCTGCTCTCCCATTTTGAGGCTTTTGCAGCATTTAGGATGGCACAGGTGAGTCCGGGCTCTGACGAGGGATGACCTAATGGAAACATTGACCCAGGCTTTCAATGTCAAAATTCAGAACAGCGTTGCAACATGTATGTGATAATTGAAGAAGCTTAGTGTTGTTATCATGCAGCTGGTCACATACATACAATAATGTCTTGCTCCTGTCACAATGCATGTCTTTACATACCTGGAGCCCAGTTTAAATATCTGAATGGGTTTCCGTTGCTCCACTGCCATCCACTCTCAAAATCCAAGCTGTTCAGTCCAATCCACAGAGATGTTCCCAAAGTATTTGTCAACCCTGCATCAACCCAAACATTATAATGTATTTTTTTAACCAAAGGTCAACCATATAACATTGTAGTATGAGTAACTGATAGGTTGATTTCGTACCTGAAATGTACGACTGCTCGTGTAGCTCTACGATGCTGAGGAGGTCAGCTCCCTGCTGCTGGCAGCTCTTCCTGGCCTGATGCCAGGTCAACACTGACTGTGCGTTCCTCTGATACTTAACTCCTGTGACCGGGTCAGTGTCCCAACCTGAGGATGCTGCATTATGGTCGAGAGAGACACAAATGATCAAACTGAGGGAAAACGATTTACTTCATGAGGTAAAAGTAATGTTATCTGTTGACCTGAATGGATTTTAAGGACAATGAGTAGATGATAGAAAAACATCTTCGACGCCCCTGTCTAGGACTGTGCTGTGTTTCATGAAAAAATACAATAGCAAAAGTGAGATCGCTTTCTTTTTCTGCCCCTTTTCCTTCCCCAGTTTAAGAGCAGCGGCAGGGGAACGATGGGCCTGAGAGAAGAGGAAAACAACTCATGAGAGGAAGTGGCAGTGTTGTTCTGCTGGGGGAGAGGAGGGGGTCAGAAACCAGACCTGTCAGCACTGACCTCTTCAATGATAGCACTTAGAGGAATTACAGACCAACAAGATAATTCTGCATGGATCGATTAACAGAATTCTTCATATAATTGTGCAACACAATCTCTCCGAGAGCTGTTGATTATCGTGGATGTTTCTTACCTGCGCTGGGACAAAAGCCCCATTTCTTGGCTATGTCATAGTCTCTCTCTGTCGCACACCACAGCTCTCCATCTGAGCGACCGTCCTTAGTGCATTCAGCGTACCACTTCTCCTGGAACTTAAATGGGAACTGACAGGGGCCTCCAAAGGCATTGCCCCCAATCGTGAAAACCTCTGAGGAGACACAAATCGTGAAGTTAAAGACAATCAAAACGCAAGCAAAGCCTGCAAATCAGCAACCTACTAGATATGCACGGCCAAAGGTGTGTGGACACGTGATCATTACACTGAAATATGATTGTTGACCGTGAGCTTTTTCATGCTGTCATAACAGTGACTCTTTGGGAAGGCTTTCCCCAAGACTCAGGAACCTGTCTGCAGGGTTTTGTACACGTTCAGCCACAGAAGCATTAGCGAGGTCGTACACTGATGTTGGGCGAGAAGGCCTAGTTCAAGCTCTTTCAAGATCTAGTTCAAGCTCTTTCAAGATCTAGTTCAAGCTCTTTCAAGATCCAGGCCAGTCAAGTTCTTCAAAAATAATCTAACAGAAGAGTCTGTTTACGGATCTGCTTCAAGCACAAGGGTGGTGACATGTTGAAGAAGGGCCTCCCTCACACTATCATCTACCATTGTATACAAAGTAGACAAAGACAGACGTGGTAGTCCGCAATACCTTTGGCTTTCTGCTAGTTTACCATTTACACCGCTGCATTTTAACATATTGCATCTTCTGGCAGATAACTATGTTCAGACTAATAGAGTGTACGGTTTTCCACAACTAAGCGAAATAAGCATCAGGACCGCAACCTGCTTTTTTAATAAATTGGGGTTTGATCTGATTATTCTTTTTTGAGCAGAATAAAATATATTACAAGTCAAACGGAATCTCAGATCAATCAACTTTGATTTGATCTTAACAAAAAATGTTGTCAAAAAGAGTTGTTAGTGAGTCCATCACTTAAACAGGCGTTTCTTTACATGTAGTTTACAGCCATTGATTACTGGGTCTAAAAATTCTAATTTGCTGAATGTAATATTGCTTGTAAAAAGTTTATTTTTGTCTTTACTTGAAAAATGAAGTATCTGACAATCTCTAGCATGGGAAGAAAAACCCTTTAGCAGGACTTTCTGAACACCCTTCCAACATTTATCAATATTAGACTCTACAATTTACACTATTGGGGCTTTGTCTTTATTAAAATCGATTGTGTCTCCACAATTCCTACCTTGAAAACCCTTTGAGCAAAGGTCACCCTTGGTGCCAAATATCCTCCAGCGACTCCAGAGCCCTGAGCCTTTGTAGATCATTATGCTCCTCTCATTGCGGTTGCCCCAGTTCATGTGCAGGTCCTGGTCTTTTAGGCCAAAGAGGGTCTCATTCTTGCACTGCCAATGTTGGAGTTCACTGTTCTCGTCACATTCAAAGAGGAGCACCTTCACCCAGTCTTTAATCTCTGTGGCCCCCAGACAGAGCTTGAGGGACAGGCTGAGGACGCGCGACTCGGAGGCCCAACGAAACTGCTGCTCTTTGGCATGAGGGTCACAGATGGCCACCGTTATGGACGTGGCGCTCTCCACCTTCATGCACTTGTTGTGGTTCTCGTTGAAGATCAGGAAGGAGCCACTGTCTGGAGCAGAACATGACAGCATCAACAAATACAATCCGATCACTCTCGTAAATTTCACTCACAACAGACAAAATGTGTCGGGGGTACGTACCTATGTCTGCAGTAATGCAGAGGACCTGCAGGAGACAGAGGACCACGGCAACATTTGAACAGGGTAACATTATCGTCAGTGTGTAGTTTACACTCAGTGGTGGATGTGATCGTAGGAGAGTTTTCCAGTCATGAGAGAAGTGGTCTGGTGTGTGCTAAGGTGTGTGACATGGAGCAACAGTGACACAGAGACGTGCTGCTTTCCCCCCTTAATCACAATGATGGGTATCCTGTCACATGGGGAGCTAAGGTTGGTCAAACGACAGCAATTTCCATGAGCTTCCACAGAGTTTTTTTTGGTAGAGAAAAAAAGGAAGACAGGAAGTGGGAGTCAAGCAATCACAGCTCACTATCTAACGGCTGAAAATCACCGCTGTTACTTCAAGAGAACTCACAGTGTCAAGGTGGGATAGTGTTTCTATTTTTAATAAATCAAAGGCAAGAGAGGAACCGGGTGATGAATTTTGGGAATTCATTTATCCAAGCAGGCTTTCAATACATTGCCTTCATCTCAGATTTGTGTTTGATTATAAATAGCCTTTCAGTCTGTATTAAATGTGTGCCAGAGAGCAGATGTCACTCAACAAGACTGGCTTGGAAGAAGTGTCAGAAGCGGGAAGATTAACATCCGATCACCAATGTGACAGTTACACAATTACTGAGCCAGAGCAAATGAGGATTAAATGAGGTTTGCAGCACTTTGCTGATGTGAGGGTTTTCGTGGGATAGTAGCCCCCGGGAGGTCCGCGGGGGGAGTGCAGTGATGATACAAGTCAGTAGAAAGGGAGGACAGGAGGAAATCCTGCTTCCTATTGGGGGAAGTGAGCGGAAATCTGACCACGTTGGCCTCATACTGTCTGCAGGGATGCCCAATGGTGCAGACAAATACCTGTGAAATACCTGTCCTTTGTATGGACACAAAGCTGTATCCAACACTACAAGTTGTGCAGTGTGTTCTAATAAACTGACACCTACTAATGACATAGTGTAAAAGTTTTACAAACCACTGTTTATAAAAAAATACTGATTAGTGCTGCTTTAACATAAACACAGATGATTGTGGAAAAGAGAACTTGTTAATAATGTACACCAATATCAAAGGAGATGAGATGTAGCTTACAGAAGAATAGCGAAACAAATGCTGAGTGTTGGGTGGTAAGGCTGCAGAATTAGCAGAAATGATTGATCAGTCAAAATATTAATCACACAAATATCAAATATAAGTGGGTTCAGGTGAATGAATTCAATCTTCTTACAATAGACATATAGCACAAGAGTCAGTACAAGAGAAATGTCACTTGATTTAAATATTGTCTGGCATACAAGATATCAGTACAATAGAGATACAATATACCACCACGAGATCTTGTGATCATAACGAGCCACTGGTCTGCTGAGCAGTTGGAGCCAAAACAGCTGACGTTAAATTTTTTCAAAAGGATTGCGTTTTTTTTTCACGGATACGATGAATGCCTCCCTTTAGAAAAACAATGCTGAAGTTTTGTCAGTTCAGCCCCGTGTTACAAGAAGTGGACTACAAATCAGTCCTCGGTTGCACCAAAATCTTTCAACTGCGGGTCACAGAGCCAAATAATGAGAAGTTCAAAGTCGTTTGACGAGATGTACAATTAAATGCAAACAGCCCAGAAATGAGTATCATTTTTCACCTCATGTTTGTGATTGATTGCATTCTTTTGTTTGTGCCATTTAAACAAGAATTCATACAAATTTTTGTATTTTTTAAATAGCATGGGATTGTACAGGTGTGTAGGAAGGCATGTGAGGAGACATTTTTGCAGACTAATGACAGGAAACCAGTTCTATTGAAGCGTGATTGTAAAGAAATGGGATAATTTCCAGCGTTAAAGTTTTGAATGGTGGTCAAAAACATTCTGCATACATGATAAATCACACTCCTGAAACTTAAAACATATATTTGAATGATTTTCTTTATTAATCTTACCAAAATATATGTATCAATGATACAAACTCACACTTTGTTTTTCTACCGTGAATATAACTTAGCAAAGAAAAACCTAATATAAACAACATGGATTTATGCTTTTACATATTCACTGCACTTTATGATGGTAGAAAAAAAATCTGATATAAAATCTCAAATGACATTACATGTACATTCCCAAAGTGCCATGCATGGTGAGGGGTAGAAAAAGTTTAACATAAAGGTATATAATACATAACACAACACATAATGTCCTTTATGGGAGAACATTGCCTAAGAGCTCCCTTTTGGCCTGTGAAAAGTATCATCATACCATCATGCATTCTGTGTCGCAATTTCATACTTTGGTTTGGTGCAACCGCCTCCTGAATCCTCCTGGCATCCGTCGGTTCCTGATTGGACCAACCTCTTGCTCCTGCTATCTGTTTTAATGTTGAAACATGTCTTTGCTTGACGTGCCGGTCTCAAAAGAACATCCTCTCTGTGTTGAAGACCCTCAGCCTGGTGATGAAGTTGAAATAGATGAAGGCCAGGCAGACCAGCAGGTTCTTCATCAGGTAGAGGACGGGTGTGACGAAGCCGAAGAACCCAACGAGGCCCACGCGCACAAGGAAGAAGGGGAAGTCCTGCAACGCCACCCCGAGTGAGGAAAGCAGGGGGCTGTGGGGCATGACCACCACACGCAGGCAAGACAGGAAGCTGAAGATGTAGATGGGGAACACCCAGCCCGAGTAGTAGACAACGGGGTGTCCTGCCACCCTCACCATCTCCACTGTATCCATCCAGAACATGAAGCTGTCCACAAACACTTCCGCTCGGGCGTCGCTGGCACACAGGAACCTCAGTGGACCCGTGTAGGCGTACGGAGACATACGGTACGCCGTGGTGCTCGCCGATCGGGAGCTCAGGCCAGAGATGCTAAACGGCCTCCCGGGGTTACCCGGTATCCCCGGGACCGTCCCGTTGGTCTCCGGGCGAGCCCCCGGTCCGTTCTGGTTCCTGTCGTTGGGCTGGTTTGCCGGCATAGGAGTTAGCCCAGCTTGCCCGGGCACAGCTGGCCCGGGCACAGCTGGAGTGACAGGCGTCACCTGTTCCACATGTGTGAGGACAGTGGAGGGGATGTCAGCATCCCTCTCCATGTCATTCGCTGGGGAGAGAAAAGTAAAAGATTATACAGAGCAAAGATGAAATCTGCATTTGCTTATGTTGCTCTTCTTCATGTGGTGTTGGAGCTTTTTTAATTAACCAAACATGACAAGAAATAAATATTCAGCATGATTTTATTTTAAATATTGTTTGGCGAACAGATTAATAGAGATACAATATACCACCAATAGAGCTTGTGATAATAATGCAGCCACTGAGGTGCTGAGCAGTTGGAGCCAAAACTTCATGAGACAGCTGACGTTACAAATTCTAAAAAGGATTGAGTTTTTCCAAGGAATGCCAGATGACCCACGTCAATGCCTTTAGAAAAACAATGCTGTAGTTTTGTCAGCTCAGCACTGTGTTACAAGAAGTGGACTACAATTGTCCTGCTCACTTCCTCAGTTGCACTCATATCTTTCAACTGCGGGCACAGAGCCAAATAATGAGATGTTAAAAGTGTTCTGGATGAATTATACAAAAGAACTGTTCAGGACCTAAAGCACCTGTTGAGTGATTTGCGTAACGTGTCCAGAGAGCGGCGCTCACCCTGGCCGGTCAGTCTGCAGTGGCGTATCCTCTCCACAACGTCAATGCAGATGAGAGAGAAGAGGACTAGTGACACAGGGAGCTCCGTGAACGTATCGTGTTTCATGTTGTTATTTATCTGAACCTGGGCAAACAGCCAGAAAATCATTAGTTGAAACATACTGGAGCATTTAACTTAATTACTTACTCAATTCAATATGGAACACATTCATTCACCTCAACATTAAAAGGACCTTTGTACCAAGAATTTACGTCTACATGTCTGATCTCTAGTTCTGGGTTTGTGGGCTAAAAATCTCTTGCAGCGCTGGTATTAGGCTGAGTCAGGACTTCATACCAACAGGACACAGAACAAAGCAGACAAGCTGGTCATCTTAGCAGAATTTATGGCTCTTATGTAAAAGACACCAGATAAGCAAGGGCCAAAAGGTCAGCTTGGGCTCTGCAAAAAGGGCCACATAAAACAGCAAATAGGACCTGGGCTGCAGCCAGCCAGGAAGTGAAAATGTGCCTCATGGACAGATGATTTGACAAGGACCGCTTGGACAGGAAGAGGGACCAAGCTGCTTATCAGTAGCTCCTTATCCATATTCATCCCCCGAGAACCAAAAGGTTCCTCACAAATCATCACCTTTATTTCACTCACAGATACCTCACACTGGGAGTCCACTCACCCAAAACATTTCATATCAATATTTTTCCAAAGGTAAAGTTGTGGCGAGTACTTTTTTTAAGTTTCAAGAAGCTTCTTTGTATGGCAGACACAATCATCCAAAAATAACTACAAAGGGATCAACAATAGCAGTCTGACAGGGGTGAAAGTTCCTGATTAGAGTACAGATGAACTGATGTGATGTTGTACCTCAGAGCTGGCGATGAGAAAGGCAAAGCAGGGTAATGTTGAAAGGATCACATATACGAGGGCCACAGGCCTCCTGATACAAAGACAAAGGAAGATAAAGAAAGTAAGGAAGGAACATAAAGGGCAGCTTAGTGCAGTCCAGACCAGCCTCAGATGAAACAGCTGCTGACCATTCACTCTGAGGCCCCTGACATCAGGACAAAGGCGGGAGAAACTCACCACTTCTTCCTCCCAATGAGAAACTTCTTCTTCATGAAGACCATATACTTCATGGGCACCCAGACCAGCAGGGCGGTGGAGGTGACGTAGGCGATAGAGGAGGCCACGATCAACCAGTAGGCCGTGCTGCCGTCTCCGGGGGGCTGCGCCGACGTCTTGACCTTCGCTACGATGACGGCGAACCTCTGCATGACGATGAAGAGTGGCACGCACAGGCCCGCAAACTGCAGCACCTCGCACAGGGCGAACTTCAGCGTCCTCCCCGAGCCCATGCTGCGGAGCTCAAAAAAAGAAAAAGAAGGGAGGGAGAAGGGGGCTGTTGTCGCAGTGAGGCGACCCCTGTCCCTCTGAGGGCTGGTCAGGCCTCGGACCGGCGCATTGTCTGCCTCCACTAGCATTTTCCACACACCACAGCCGTGGCTCTCTGCTCACCCAACTGCTTACACTGCACTAGGCATTGTGTGCCTTCGGTGTGACGGGGATGTGGCTGGCCCTTTACTCTCTTTATACACGGGGTAAAAACAAAAGGTTGTCTAGAAATCTGGGATGATTTAGTCCTGAAAGTGATGCTTCAAAGATTATGAAGCTAAAATCCAGTTTTATTAATCAGCCACACATGACCGATATTATTCAGAGCATCTAAAATATATGTAGCCTTGCATTAGTTGTACCCTATATTCTGCATTTTACAAAACCAGCAAGTGGTGGACTTGGTAACACCCAGAGAAAAAGCAACATCCAAGGCACTTGTGGCTCTTCTCATGTTTAAACATTGCCATCTAGTGGCAAAATGTGATAACTACAAAGAGTCACACGTAACAAATACTAAAAACATATCAGTGTTTTTTTAATACACTGCTTCAACAAATCAATTTTCAGCAAATTCATGTAAATTGATTAGAATAAGAATGAATGTGTCCTGAAACAGCTGGACATTGTACAGACCTCAGACACCTGAACCTTTAATTGAGGAAATGGATCAGGATTAGGTAATCTGCACTATTTACAAGATCAATTTAAAGATCTCAAGCAGCAAAAGCAGAAGTTTGACCAGCACAGAGTACAAATACTCTAACTGGACCTGGAACAGAGCATCAGTGAGCTCCTGGACAGTCTGTGGTGCGACACTTACATAACGCCCTCGAAGGCCAGTCAATGGCATCAAGGCCTTTGTTATCCAGGAACTGTCTACACACATGAGGCTGGGCATTGTCCTGCACCAGGAGTAACCCAGGGCCCACTGCACCAGCATAAGGTCTGACAATAGGAGTGAGGATTTCATCCTGGTACCTAACGGCAGTCAGGGTACCGTATAGCACGTGGAGGTTTGTGCGACCCTCCGGAGACCATCACTGACCCACCCCCAAACCGGTCATGATGGATGATGTTGCAGGCAGCATAACGGCGTCTCTAGACTCTGATGTTCTCTGGCAAATGCAGACGAGCTGCAGGTTGCTGCAGGTGGCTGGATGACCTCAAGAGGTCGTCCAGCCCTCACGTCACCCTCATGGAGTCGGTTTTAGAGAGTTTGGTCACAAACATGAACCAGAGTAGCCCTCTGGAGGTCATGTTGTAGGGTTCTGGCAGTGCTTTTACTGTTCTTCCTCACACAAAAGCAGCCGATACCGCTCCTGCTGCTGGGTTGTTGCTCTTCTATGGCCCTGTCCAGCTCTCCTCTTGTAATGGGCACGTGGCAACCAGCCAATCAAATTGAAGCAGGGTAACAGGTGAATCACCTGTGAGCATGCGCGTTGTTGTTTTCCCTTGACAGCTCTACCCATAGACTGTACCTATAGCGGCACAATTAAAACACCATTTCAAAAGAATTCAGTAACATAATAATAGTACGAATCATATACATAATAAATGCTCAACTATTGCATGACTCACCGTGATTTAATGTATTTATTAACGCAGGATGTATCACAAGTTACTGTTGCTCACTTTTAACAAATGTAATAAACTAGTATACTTAAGCAATTAGGCTTAATAGCATTTCCAATACTACACTTTTACCTGTAAGAGCAGCCTATTTCTACACTATAATAACAGTCCCTGGCCCACCGGCAGGCCACGCACTTGTTTGCAGCACTAGTCCCGCGAGAGAGAGAGAAGGGGGGGGCAGGGATGGATGACCCCGCTGCTCCCCTCTCTCCCTCCCTACCAGCCCCAGCTGTCAGCTCTCTCCCTTGACTCCCCCTCCGGCACCATGGCGTCCAGCGAGGAGGACGGCACGGTTGAGGAGAAGGAAAACAACAACAAGAGGAGAACAAAAAGCGCCCTTGCTACCGCATGGCTGACTTTCTACAACATCGCCATGACCGCCGGGTACGTGCGTTATATTCCGCCTATTAATAAGAAAACCCTATAAGTTAGCCGCTCCCTAAAAAACTGTACGCGCGTGTTGCTGTTTATAGGACTGTGCGTCTCCGCGGCGAGCCCAAAGTGCCTGTTCAGCTCGCTCAATTTAGCGGCTCGTGACAGTTGGGGGGAACTTGAGTGAACAATTTGGTATTTGAGAAATATATAGAAATATAGGTGTTGGGCTATTTGTGTGAGTGTTGGAAAATGAATGAATCGTGTTGGGTTAAAGTGACAGGCTCGCGCTGCAGCCGTGTCCAAATAGGGCTGACTGCATGGGGGTGTCAGCGTCGAGGCCCACAGCGCGCCCGACAGTTGCAGTGATAAGTATAGCCGGAGCGCGCTGACACTGGAGCTCAGGTCTGGGACAGTGAAGTGCTCAATGGGCAGATTTTCTTTTTTAAATAATAACAACATAACATTTGTGAATAGCAGACAGAGCGCGTTGTTTTATAAACTGTCCAGATGTGAATAAAAATACTCATGTCACTTATCAATAGGTCAATACAACAGCTGGCACTCACCAGATCAATGACACGCCTCCAGTTTGCAGTGGAAGAAGTACTGTACTTACTTACCACAGTCTAGAAATACTGTGTTACAAGTAAAAGTCCTCAAAATATCACTTACAGTATCTAAAAGTATCAGGAAAATGTACGAACGTGAGCTAAGATGATACTTTATTAATACTTTATCATCAGTAGAAGTACAAACAAGTACAATAAATAGTCTAGCAGTAAAGGTACAATAAATAAGTAAATCGCAAAAAACAACAAAAGCTATGAATACAATACGATCGGAGTGAGTGGTTGGGTACAGATTACTGTACATATGACGTAATATGAAGTGCATATATTGCACAGAGTATTTATATTGCACATACATACATTGATACTGATGTTGCACATGAATGAATGAATGAATGAATGAGTAATTGGGAGCAGTGTTGGTTGTGCAGTCTGATAGTATAAGTATACTGAAGTATTAAAAGTTAAAGCACTCGATGCAGGGACGTGACCCAGTTATGTTATTATATATTAATAGATTATTATTACTCGTGCATTAATGTAAAAACTGGATTTTACTGTTGTTACTGTCTGCTTTGTAAAGGACTGCATCTTATGATCATAGTCACTATCATCATCAGCGGTTCTTGTACAAACTGTTGGGTAGTTTGATTTATAATAAAGAATCATGTTTTATAGGCTGTTAGTTTGTTTTGTGTACAAAACTGATCAACGTGTTATGAAGTCTTTTCAGCTGCCGTTCTCTTGACCAAAGTACTACAATAGAAACATTCTGTCTGAGTGTCTAAATGTCATGTTTTATCAAGTCAGTCGTCGACTGTATATATCTATTGTCACTGTGGGGACACTACAAGTTCAGCGCCGCTGTAACTGTGCATAACCTGCACTCACACCATGAGGAAGCACAGGAGCAGCCAGGTTAAAATGTCCTGAAAGCTGCACAGAATACCTGGTTTCTCCTGGTCTTAAGTGTCCTAACTGAAGCTGTAATATACTCATGTGTGGGAGTCTGATTTGGATTGTTTTGATTAAGACTGAGGCAGAAAATGGAGAGAAAAGTGCTTGTAACGGAGCTGTGAGAAGATGCAGTATAGCTTCAGGTTTTAGTTTCAAATAAATGAGCATTTGCCGTGTCAGAAAACACAGTGAGCACAAGTACACGCAGAGCTGAATAACAGGATGGTTGTGTTCTTTCATATTGTCTCTTATCAATGCTGGGATCCAGGAAACTATGGACAAACTCTTACACCAACCGTCTCACACTAAGTGGTGCCATTATGTTCCCTAATGGTCTTTTGTTGTTTTTTCTTTCTGCAGGTGGCTGGTTTTGGCGATGGCAATGATGCGCTTCTACATCCAGAAAGGCACACGCAAGGGTCTGTACAGAAGTATAGCAAGAACACTCAAGTTTTTCCAGACCTTCGCGTTAGTCGAGGTAAGAATATGAGTGGAATAGCGTTTGCCGTCACTTGCATGGCTGTGACAGTTCAGAGAAATGACTGATATTTATGTATCTCGTCTTGCAGGTGGCACATTGCGCCTTCGGTATGTGATGATTTTTGTTTACGACTTATGTTATAATGGAAACAAATTTATATTTGCGTGCCGACATCTTTGCAGCTGTAAACTTGTTTCTTCTTCTCTCTCCTGCTGCGCTGCAGGGATTGTGAGGACTTCTGTGATTGTTACCGGGGTGCAAGTGTGTTCACGGATTTTCATGGTTTGGTTCATCACCAACAGCATCAGACAGGTGACGAAGGGGTTTTATTGAGTCATACAGACCACGGAAGAGGAGCATCATTTTACTGTTGTTTTCTTTACTGTCTGTGTGACGGACGTGCAAAAGAATTATTATATAATATAATTGTACACATTGTACACATACAGCGTACATATTTATAACATTCTGTATACATTTTATTGGGACAATTGGGCCTTCTTTTCTGTCTCTATTTTATGCATATGCTGCATAAAAAACAGCAAGAACCCCTGTCCTTTATTATAGTTTTATTTCTTTTGTATTTAACATAATTGCTTCTCTACATTTGCACCTGTCAGCTTTTGACTCAAGTTACTTCCTCTTTCCTCTGCATACTTGCCTGTATCTGTTTAAATGAAGATCCAGAATGAAGAAAGCGTAATCCTATTCCTGGTTGTGTGGACGATGACAGAGATTACCAGATATTCCTACTACACATTCAACCTGCTCCACCACCTGCCGTACTTCATCAAATGGGCCAGGTTGAGATAGCCGGAATGAGCTTGAACTGTCATTACAGTGTCAGACATTGTTGTCTAAGCATGCCGGTCACTGATCTGGCTATTTCCCCCCTCTGGCATGCTCCCTTTAAACCAGCTTTACATCAGGAAGTAGTGCAGCCGTGTGTGTGTGTGTGTGTGTTAAGTATCGCCTGGCTCACACAGAGAGGTGAAGCATGTGTGTGTTTATTGATTAGCACCTCGTTAGCCATTGTCTTGTTAATGAAGGGTGAACTAACTGCTAACATTGTGCTCTGACAGCACTGGTGATCCAAAACAAACATTACAGAAGACTTTTAATCATTTTAGGGCTTATGTTTGATCAATTATTGAAAAAAGTATTTTCTGTAACGTGCTGTAAATAAATTCTCACAGGGACAGCAATCCAAAGCTTTAATTATCAACACAGAAAATGTTTAATTGAAACCGCTGTCATGATTATCAGTGATGACGATCGCCACATTTCTCAGCTCTGGAGTGACATAACGCCGGCCTACTACTGTATGGAGAGCTCTGGTGACGTGGCAGCAGCCTCTCTGCTACAGTAGCTCCGCTGAAATCAGAGTCGTTGGCAGGAACGTCAGCTGTACACATTGATAGCTGTCCAACAGGCAGGCTCGGCATCTCACAGCCAAGAGAGCTCACTTCAGAAAACAGTGACGTTTGGGTATCAGTACGAGGTGAGATGTCTCTGCAGACAGAAGGTTCGCCAGAAGAATGAGATTTGTTGTGTCTCATATGATTGTCAGTTTTTTTGCCAGTTACTCTTTTGTTTTTGGTTTTGATTCTTGTGTGTTGGATGCCACTCTCACCCCCCCCCCCCCCCCCCTTCACGGCTTTTCTTTAAAGCATGGAGGAGACGCCAGGCCCCCGGACAGCGGCTCATGTTCAGCTGCTCATGTTTTTAAGACCATCTGTTTTGGTCATGGAATGTTCGCCCCAACATTTCTCTCACATCCGCCGAGACGCTCCCCCGAGCCTTTGCTGTGGTCTCCACTAAACTCAAAGCCCTGAGTCATGGCATATATCGTACTACAGAGGGATGCGGGCTGTGTCACACTTATGTGAAGTGACAGGCAGTTGTAGCAGAAAGCCAAGAAGATGACAGTCTGTTAATGAAGCACAGCTGTATTCTGAAGTAGATGCTTTTAAGTAAAGCCAACTTTCGCTGAATAATTCCTACCTTTTGATGTTTGTAATTATTGCAATGAAGCACTGGTTTTCATCTGATCATGTGGTCTGCATACCGAGGAATCAAGAGCATAACCCTTCTAATCAACCATTTAGTGCACCGACAGTTGTCAAAAGGCACAAATTGCATTGAAATTAAATGTTGAACTCATCCTTTACAGGTTGCATTTGTTAGTTTTAGTGTAGATTGTGTGTTTAGACATCTATGCATGTGAGTGTTTTAACATCCACAGACTTAAACTGCACAAGTGTTTGTTGCAGGTGTGTGACCTCGTACATCCTTTCCCTCCCAGATACAACCTCTTCATCGTCTTGTACCCCCTGGGAGTCGCCGGAGAACTGCTGACCATTTACGCTGCCCTGCCGTTCGTACGCAGATCTGGAATGTACTCCATGAGGCTCCCCAACAAGTATAACGTGTCGTTCGACTACTACTACTGCCTCATCGTCTTCATGTTGTCCTACATCCCACGTAAGGAGCATTTCTACTCCCACACTGCACGTTATGGTAAAATATGTAAAGGAGGATGACCCCCGTGTGCATCTTCTGCTCCATGAGACTTCAGAGATAGCTCCTCAAGGTGACAACAAGACTCCAGGAAGTCACTGCGAGGCGAACCATCTTCTGGCTTTTGCTTTACATTCAACCTACAGACATGAGAGTGGTATAAATCTTCTTAATCTACTCTTGGCAAGGAAACAAAATAAGCATATTTCCCAAAACATCAAACTATTCCTTTGAGCGTTTGAGACCTGCAGCCACCTTTGTGTTTTTGTGATATAAAGCAGCAGATAATTCAACATCTGAAAATGTATTTGGGAATAACTAACTGATGTTAAAATGCTACGTATAGCATCTTTGTGCCAAGTAAAATTGTTATAAGGGGTGGAAATCGAAGCGTTCCATCTAATACAGCACAACATTAGTGCCGACAATACTGCTTTTAAGAAGCTGCTTTTCATTGAGAATCTAGTCAGGAGTGTTTGTTTTTTTGCTGTTATTCTAACAGGTCTGCCTCCATAAGTAAGTTAACTTCAAAATGTGACGTTCATAATTATTTATTCTAACGGAGCCTTTTAATATCTTAGGATGAATGATTGACTGTTTTGGATTATCAAAGTGATTACAGGCCAATTGGAGATGGAAGAACCAGAGTAGACTTTTCCTGCCTGTGACATAAAGAACAGTCATGAGAAAAGTATTGACTGATCCAGTTTATTCTCCCCCAGTGTTTCCTCAGCTCTTCTTCCACATGCTGCGGCAGAGGAGAAGGGTGCTTCACGGCGAGGTCATAGTGGAGAAGGACGACTAGACAAGCCACCACCTCATGCCTCCGTTTGAGCCAACCTGCCTCCACCGTCACCGTCCCCTCCCCCCTCCACACTTCATCTCCTTCCTCATCTCTAGCACCATCGGCTGTTACATTCTTCATCGCACGGGACCGCACAGATGACGACCTGTCTGACGAGAGTGACAATCAGGAAGAAAGGAGCTCACCAGTACTGATAATAATAGCTGATCCTAAGTCTTCACAGGATTAATTCCTATCTGAATGGTAATATTGGAAACATGTTTACAGTCCCAGTGTCGCCGGAGCTTGAGACAGAAGCCTGACGTTGAGTCCTTTATTCGCTTAACTTCGCACGCTGTTGCACTGATAAAACATGAGCCCCAGCAGAGTCACAACACCTGTCTGAAGGAGTGAAGGGAAAACCAGAGGCTTCCAGGGAAATGTGAAATGAAACACGGGAGGAAGATTGAAAGTTGCGTCTCCTGAGTTGTCCAAACTTCATCCCCTCCAACCGACCCAATTGGCAGTTGTATTCATTTTTTTTTAAAAAGTGTATTCCACCAAAAGATATTTTATACAGAACAAGGTTTAAAAAGAGAAAATATTCATAGTTCTATCATACCTCAACAATAAATCTACATTTAGACAATATGCTGCTTCTTTTGTGTACGTTTGTAAATGATGAAATGTGAAATGAGCGGATAATAGTAAGCATATTTCTTAAAGATAATTTATTCACATAACTGTGTCACTTAGAGCAAGCACAGCTCAAACTTAACACTTTGTCTGCTTGGCTCCTGCATTCTTCTATGTTGCTTTGATGTTTACTATGTCAAATTAATTGACAAGAGTGCATCGTAAACAGATTTGAGTCTTCAAAGAGCAGCAGCTTATCGAGAGGCGGTCGTAGATGAGACTTCAATTCAGATTTTTTTGTGAGCACTCGCAGTCTTCAGTCGCTGTTGTGTTTGTTTTTTAACATAAAGAATCTCATGTGCGTGTTGATAGAAAGGTAGTTAGGTTCCCTCCTACTAAAGGTGCTATTGTAAGATCATTTCAATCTTCTGTGCAGCTGGAGGAGAGACTGTGTTTGGAGTTGACCTAAAGCAGAAAACAGGATGTGAAATGATTGAGAGGAAATGTTGCATAGCCCATGGTTATTGAAGAAAATCAACATTTTGCTATAATCTGGGTTAGAGAGAAAAGAAAAAAAACAATTAAAGTAAATGTCATAAAATTATTTTTCAAGAAGAAAACAATAAAAATGTGAAAATACCTTTTTGTGCAAAATCAATAAACTAAATTCTACAATACCGCGGAGCGTTTTGTGATGACCTTCACACTCCTCTGATACCAGGTTTGTTTATCTGGATCTGCATCAAAATGTAGAAATAAGATGACGAATACAAACATCTTCTGGGTTTTTACATATTTATTTGTGAGTGTTTCCTTCATCTTTGTTTAAACTCAAGTGTTTTTCTCAACAGGAAACAGTACCTGAGTGCAGGAAATGGCACATTTTATATTTGTAGGTAGGATGCACAGATTTATATCCATAAACACATGTACGTCTGTAAAAGTGAAAAATAAATCTCATAATCACAAAATACTGCATCGTTGCGTAGAGTATTAAACTGTAAACGTGCAGTCTTGAACTAAAACTCAAGCTGATCGTGACTTTTTTCCGCATTTATGTGTAAATATTTGCTTCTACTCATATAAATGGAAATGCAATATATTCATTCATGAGGTGAGATAACAGGTTCCTCAAAGATAGCATATCAGCGACATTTCATGTTTTTTTGCGCATCATTTTGCACCTTTTTCATTTTAAGACAACTACATGTTATGAAAAGCACTACGGTAAGTCCACTCGGCTTCATACAATTTATAATTTCCTACAAAACTTGCATAATGAAAATATACATTCAGATATTCAGTTGCATGTGGAATACAGTTTTATAAAATATGTATTGCACTTGCTGGTGATGTTGGACTGGTTTCACTTTGGAGGAGAAAGGCATCTCCTCAGCATCGGACAGATGTTCGCTGCTGCAGCCCCGGGCTCATTTTCAAAATTGTCCCTTTTGCTCTTTCCGTTACGGACTCTCCATGTGCCGTGCCGGTGGACCAGTGCCACATGGGGGGGAGGGGGGGGAAGTCTAGCTGCTCACTGCAAGCTCTCTCAAGACATCGCTACGATCCAGGCAATCTCGCTGCAGAGAAACAGACAGAATGACATTAGGACGCCTGTGAGGAGATCAGCACTCATTACATTTGGGGATGAAAAAGAAGACAACAACAGACGTACATGTTTCCATTTCCTTCTCACAGATGTAGCTTATGAGATCTTCACAGAAGAAATCGTTCCACAAGCCTTCATGGATGAGTCCCGCACAGTCTTCTCCCATTTCGTGCCCGTGGCCCCAGTCGTCAGGCTGCCCGGGCTTCCACTTCCTGCAGGCAAACAACAGGGGGCGACCACACATTACATTTACAGGTTCTCCTCTAAGAGTCTGGTGGAAAAAGAATAAACTGCAGCGGGAGTTGAAGTTGAATCATCTGATTTAAATCTGTAATTTAGACCACAAGTGGAATATTTAATGATAAAGAGGCTTTCTTACCATATTGCCGTGTTCTGATTTTTATTCAATGCTGGTTTGATGGTTTTGATCCTTATTGTATGTTCACCCTTTATTTTTAATGTTGTAAGCATTAAGGTTATTGTGGTTGTATTATGTTTTTTACTTCTGTTGCAAGAGAGTGAACTGCTCTGATTGGACCACCCTAAATAAATAAAGGTTTATTAGATGTTAAAGTATATTTTTTGTTTGAATGGGCCGCAGGAATAGAGGATTGGAGCTTTGCATGATTTCAAAACAATCAGAAAATATCAGACAGTTGATAATTTGTCAAGACTGCGTGTGTTTTTTTTGGTGTTTCATGTAAGTGAAAACCTGCTGCTTGTTATTATTACTGGAAAGCAGTATTTTGAACATTATCCAGCAGGAACAGCACCTACTTTCATTCACGGTAAGGCGTTCCCTATGAACAATTAATACTGACGTGAAAGCAGGTTCGGTGCCGTCCAGCCAACGCCAGACGTTCTCCTCCTCCCTGTCGGTCAGACCCATCCAGAAGTAGCCCTTTCCAAAGGTCTGCTTCTTCAGCCATTTCTGAGATCACATGAGGACGAGAAAAAGTCACAACTGAGAAGTTACCTCACACGTGACCGAGCAAAAGACGACCGTCCCTTCCAGTACACAATGATTTTAGTGCTAAAGATAACACTCATAATTAGTCACCAGTTCTTCCATATCGTTGATGATCAACAGCGAGGCAGACGTTGAGTCACAGGTTGCCTTTGCGTCGTCAAAACTGTGCAGGTCTTTGGAGAAAAAGTAGCACTTGTCTCTGTAGTTGACCCACTCCACAGGGCATCCTGTAAAAGAATCAAATCTACCATATTATTATCAATGGTGCTAGATTATACAATTGGTATACTGCAACAGAAACGTTAAAACTAGTGATAAGACTTAAAGTCGTACCTGGGGCCCAAAGAGTCGGAGGTGCTGCCTCATCCTGCAGAGACACAGGGCCAAGAGGAAGTCCTGGAGCCTGGATCCCTGGTTGTCCCGGTGATCCTGCTGGCCCCGGGGGCCCCACTGGTCCCGGCAGTCCCCTTGGCCCCTGCTCACCAGCTGGCCCCATTGCGCCTCTGATACCCGGTTGGCCCTGTGCCCCCTGAGGACCAGACTGTCCATCTCTTCCAGGCAGACCGGCAGTACCTGGCTCTCCTTTAGCCCCAGAAGGTCCGGCCCTTCCTCCTGATCCTCGGGAGCCCTTAGATCCGGGGCTGCCAGGTACGCCAGGCAGTCCTTTTATCCCTGGCAAACCTTGTGGTCCTGGGAAACCCTGCTCTCCTCTGGATCCTCGTATCCCTGGACCACCCTTTTCCCCTTTCTCTCCTTTCTGACCAGGCTGACCAGATAGTCCCTGAGGTCCTTTGTCCCCTCTTGACCCTCTTGGACCAGGGGGACCTAAAAAATAAGATTCACTGTCAGCAAGTGAAATGAACGTTTTAAGTATTTTTTTTTCTTCAAAAGAATAGTCACACATTGATGACAAAAAAAACGCTTCTTTGCTTTCTTTCTGAAAAGATTGATAGCACAGCTACAGCTAGTAGCTAACGCTAGCAGCCATACATCCCTTACCCTTTAAAATAGTGAAGTTGGTTATTAGCTGCGAGTGCTTGGTGTCCACCAGCTTCATCTCCTCCATGACAATAGAGAGGCTGGTGACCTCCTTGTCCACACGTGCTGCCAGCTCGTCCTGCTGGGACCTCAGACCTGCTGCATCTGTCCTCACGTCGGTCACGCTGCTGTTGAGGTTCACCAAGAAGTCAGAGTGGCGGCCGACGGTCTGGGAACAAGTGCGCAAGTCGTTCAGGTTGAGGTTGATGGCCCCCAGGAGTTGCGTGGTGAAGCTGATGTTGCCGGTCACCCGGTCCATGCTCTGCTCAGACTCATCCAGCCGCACCTCAAGCTCGTCAAACTTGTCAGACATGAGGTGGTCGAAGTCCCTCTGCTCGTCCAAGATCTCCCTCAGGCGCTGGTCGTGAGCATCAGTCAGGCTGCTGGTGTTCTGGAGCTGGTTGGCCACGAGAGCAAGCTGTGATCCCATCTCCTCCAGGCTGTCGTTGTTGGCTTTTGCAAGAGTTGAGGCATTACTGGCCACTACCTGCAGGTTTTCTACCTTACTACGAAGCCATTCAGTGTCGGACCGCGTCTGTCGGGCCATCTGCTCGAGGCTCTGAAAGTCATTGCGCATTTTCTGGATGGCCTGACTGGTGTCATCCACCGAGCGCTGCAGAACGGCGATGAGGCCTCTCTGCTGGGCCTGGGTGAAGTTGAGGCTACTGATGCTGAGCAGCGCCTGGTCCTGCAGTTTCACCTGCTGCTGGATTTCTTTCTGCAGCCAGGCCGTGTCCTCCTGCAGACCTCCAATCATGCCACCGTAAGACTGCAGGGTGCCATTTACAGAGTGCAAGTTGGCTGTGTTGCTTTCCAGCCGTTCCTGAACGGAGCCCTGGCTGTTCTGAATGTCTAAGCCAACGTTCTGCAGCTGAGTCAGCTTCACTTGATCGCTGTGGATGCGTTCCTCCACCGCAGACAGCTGCCTCTGGAGAGTCCAGATGTTGTTCTTGAAAGTCTCGATCTCTGTGGTGGTATTCTCCGACTTCTCGCCTGCTTGATCATCTGACGAGTGGAGATTTGTACAATAAATTACTAAAAACTTTCCGCCTCTCACTGTAGATTTTACTACAATTTAAGCCCAGACACTTGGCCACTTACCGAGCTTTTTCAAATCAGTCTCAACAGCAATTATCTTTCCTCCATAGTTTGCAATGCCTTCAGACACGCTGTCAACTCTTTGCACCACTGGAAGAAAAAGAGGACAGGTAGGACAAAGGTTAGTGTCATAGCCTCATCACAGGCTCCGTGCTTTATTAAGAGACCAGAGTTGCCTGCAACCACAGACATCATATATAAAAGGGATCAGAGAGGAAACCACTGACATGTGTCTACATGTCTTGTAGACAATAATGCTGGACTCGATTAATGTAATCTCTTGGGTTACGCCAGATTTAGAGTGTGGCAGGGAGACGTAGAGACAGAATTTTGGATTTGGAGCGCAACTCAATTTTGAGTGAGAGACAGAAAAAGGTAGGCAGTGCGAAAGAGACAGAAGGAGGCAGGAAGAAACATTGATTCAGCAGAGATGGAGTGGGTGGTCAATGATAGACACCGAAGACGGAGGTGCATGGGGAGACATTGGCGAGGGCCCTAGGGGACAGGAAGTCACCTAGGGGGGGGTTCTTCAGTAAACAGGCGGATCAAAGACAGCCCAGAGGAGACAGACGCTGTGGCAGGGAGGCTCTTCACGCCCCCACAGGCGACACCAGCGTTCATTTCCTCTGGAATGTGTCTGGGATTCCAGGGAGTCAGCCCACTTCTACCACCAGCCTCGCCAGGGGGACACATCCTCTAACTGGGAACTGCATGGACTCCTCTGCTGGGAAGCTGCATCCCAAATTTTTGCTCCCCAACAGTTAAGACAACAATTCAGTCCCAAGGCTTTCAATACCAGAGACAAGATGGGCTGGTTCAAATCCATCCATCCCTCCAAATAGGGACACAGGTAAAGCCTTTTATTCATGGC